GTTAATACACGAGTTCAAAATTATAAATAATGCCTGTCTTTTTATTGCCAAAACATTAAATTTTGTAAAAAAAGACATTCTTCTAAGGAGGGAATTCTGACTGGGATAATCACCTAATTCTCTGCATTTGAAAGTAGGATTGACTAAGAGATTCCACCCCTTTTTCTTCATGTATTATTCAATGTTTTATTATACGTATTCACACACACAGAGTTGTTTCCTCATCTGTATTCACTGAGGAAACTCACAGGTTTCTCATGTAATTCTGAAGAGATTTCAAGTCAGACAAAATCAAATAGATAGGTTTACAGAATGAACCCCACCCCGTGACAATGAATAACAGAAACATGGCCATTACAAGAAGCTCTTACCAAGCACCAGATATTTTGCTAAGTACTTTATATTATTATTTCATTTACACTTACCCGCTCTATGGAGTAGGTATTATATCCTCATTTTATGGAGAAGGAAACTGGGGCTTAGGATAATTAAGATCATTTATCTAACACTACACAATAAACAACAGCAGCATTAAGATTCTAACCCTGGCCTACCTCAAAATCCCTGCAGTCTCAACAGTATGCCCCACTAAAACTCATGGAGAACCTTAATTCCTCAATACAGCAGTGCAGGAAGGTGGGGCCTGGTGGGAACTATCTGAGTCCCCATGAGTAGATTAATGTCTTTTTCACAGGAATGGGTTAGCTGCTGTAGTGTTTTTTATCTGTGATGGGCTGCTGCTTCCAGCTTCTACTTCTGCTTCCAGCAAGAGTAGAAGAAGCCTGAGGCTCTTAGAGATGCAGTGGGTTAGTCTAGGACTTTTCAACTTTTAGAATTGTATGCCAAAATAAACATTTCTTTATACATTACCCAGTCTCAGATATTCTGTTAGAGGGACAGAAAACAAAGAAAACCCCTATCCACTGTGACTGACTACCATATTTCAGAAAATTCATGACATACCATTACTGTCCAAACCACTAATAACAAAAAAGGTGACAACTGTAATTGTGCCACCAATTTCTTAGGACAATGGAAATGTTGATCTGTGAAGAAATGAGGTAGGATTGGGATGTCTCAAAACCAATGATACAATACAACTCTATATTGATTTTCAATATAGTGCCTTTTTGAATGAGGAAATAGTATATGTAGTCTGAGTGAAGGATTGAATACTTCTCAGTTCTGGGGAGCTTTAGTAAACAACTTCCTTAGGCTATACCAAATGTTACTTTCCTGATCCTTACATTGAAATGCTGATAACTATGTATTGCCCTTAATTTGAAATTACAGCTATTGAGCATGAGCAGCATAGCCAAATGAGAAAAGACTCAACAACTTGACTAGTGTAAGGGTTAAGTGTAAACTATCAAAGTGTGAGATAAATCTCAAAGTACAGTCTTATCCTCTATTCACGATAGTATCTCAGCCTCAAAACATCAAGAAATTGTTTCCTCACTCCTCTTGATTCATATGTCAGGTTCTAAAGATTTGGCTAATGTTCACTTCTACCAATCACTTCACTTGGTCTTTCCTTTCTCATAGGCCAACTGTGAAATGCAGTTTTTCTAACTTAGAAAATATTTCCAACACTTCTCTATACTCCTTTTCATTTTCCAGGTATTTGCTTCTTTTTGTAAAAACAGCAGTCATTACAGAAAAAAGAAAAATACACCTTAGGAACATTGAAACAGTTCAATAATGTGAGTTTTCTAGGATTTCCTCTTTTCTGAGGCATTTTTGTAGTTCGAGTTGTGAGTGGGGTTCATCATCGCTCTAGAGAAGCTGCAGATTATCTCAGTGACATTGACAGTATGGAGTAACATAAAGGAACTGCAAGGCCATTTACATCTCAGAGGGATTTAGGGGACACGTGAAACACAATGAAAAATCAAAAGGAAAATGACCCCTGTATTCCTTTGCTTGCACCGTAATTGGCACAGGAGTAGGAGCAATGGAAGGGCACAAACATAAAGCTATGATCTGGTTAAGCATGGATTAGTGCAATACAATATAAATTCTGATGACAGACTATGCAAAGGAGAAATTGTCTGAAACAGTCTGGAAACAGAATGTGAGTTAGTTTGCACTCTATCTCAACACTACTTCAGAGAAGAAATATGGAAATTAATTCTTAGACTAAAATTTGCCTCTGATTATAGTCAGTTTTTAAAACGTTAAAACTAGAAAATAGATTTCCTTAAAGAATGGTGCTCTTTTTACTCTAAGTTATATAACATCATGAATTTAATAGGCAGAGTTTGAGAGTAAGAGGGATATCTTTGAGAATATTTTTACCTGCAATAGTGTGTTATGACTAATGAACTAGGGCAGTGGTGGCAAATCTACGGCATGTGGGCTGTTTGTTATTACTGAAAGCTCTACAGGTTCGTCATCACTAAACTGGAGCTTTTTTTGATGACTTACTGCATGAAAGTTAGGGGGAAGTCACATTTACCAATTATTGGGTACGTTGATTGCTGTTCTAAAAAGGTTGCAGTCTATTATGTGCTTACTTGCTACAGTTGTACAGTCAGTCACCAGGTAATTTAGAGTGAGATCGAAAGTAGAGTCTATCATATTATAACCTCCTTTCCAAAATTCTTACACAGATCTTCAAATGAACTACTGTTTCTAGAACTATATGAAGCCAATTATATGGAATACTTGGTTGATAAGTTTTCAAAATTCCATGTTTTCATAATTTTAGAACTCCCTAATTCATTCAACGGATACTTTACTTAGACGTTATTATATTACTCTATATGTATATTACATGTGATAAAATAATGATCAGGAACAGCAAGTTGGTACTTCCTTGTAGAAGGAGGGTCTCTGTCAACGTAGTGGGAGAATGCCAAATATCAAGAAATTAAAATAGAAAATTGGGAAAGCATGGGAAAATAAGTAATGATTACAATTAGAGCAGGAGAAAAATCCTTAATCTAAACTTGGGGTGAACCAGTGAAGAGTTTCAATCATGATACATTTGTTTTAGAAAGATCACTCTGAATGTTCTATAGAGATTCAATTAGAAAGGGAGAAAATCAGATGGGGACACAATTTAAGGAAGTTAATTATAGGAAAAAAATAGTGACCCGAACATGCTACTTGCAGAAATAGAATTAAAAGAATTGTTTTGGACATTTTTAAGAGCTTAATGACTATTTAGACTCAAGAGTGTTAAAACGACCAATTTCTGGTGGTAGATACCTGTAAGCTTAGCACTTTGGGAGAATGAGGTAGAGGACGACAAATTCTAACCCAGCCTGCTTCAAAATGAAAAAATGGATAGGGATGTAGCTCAGTGCAAAGGCCCTGGGTTCCATCTCCAATGAAACACAAACACACACACACACACACAATTTCTGGCTTGGGCAACTGGGAAGCTGGCAAAACCAACCATTTAGGTAAGGAGAGAAGTCTGTGGCCTGACTGAAGAATTAATAGTAAGTGGACTGATTTCAGAGATATTTAGGAAGCAAAATCAGTAAGATTTGGCAATTGCCTGACTGTCAGATTCGTTAAGGAAAAGAAAGAGACAAAGGATGACATCAAGTTTCTGGCATGGATTTTGAGATGGTCTCTATGGTACATTAAGGGCCAAGAATACCTCTTGTCTTGGTATGTATACTTTGCCATGTGACTCTGTCACTCCTCCCATGTAAAGATGTTATGTGTTTCCCTATTTCTGAAAGGTGGTCTGGTCTTGTGACTTGCTTTGCCAAGTATGTGGTAGAAGTGACATGTGATTCCAAAGGCAAGACTTTTAGGAGGGATTGTTCAGTTTCTGCTCTTTTGAAGCACTGTCCTGAGACTGTCTGGAAAAGAAGTTGGTCTAGCCTAAAGAGGAAGAGAGGTCACAGTTGACAGCACCACTATGAATGATGGTGACCCTGCACTTTTTGGGTTAACTGAACTACTAGTTCAAAACAGTGCACAAACGAGGTCAGAAGGCCAGGAGAAATTAACAGAAGAACCACTCTACTGACTCACAAAATGATGTGAAATGGTTTTATTAAGCCACTAAATTCTCAGGGGTGGTTACACCATCATAGGCAACTGAAAATTACAGAATGAAATTCGGAGAAGACAGCTTGAAATATTTCATGTTATCCTCTTATTGTGGTGAGGATGAATCCAAATTCAAATGAGACAAAGAACCCCTGAGAGAAAATTCAGGGAGGGATGTTCCAGTAATTTCTAAATCACCAACTGTCTGAATAACGGTTTGTATTGGACCATTAGAGAAGCAAAGAAAGCGATGATGCTTTTAAATTCCAGGATGAAAGGGAAAAAAGACGTATTTATAGAGACCTGTACAGTCCCTACCCCCTTAGATAAAGTCTTAGATAAATCAATTAAAGCAGGCCTTCTAGAACAAAACTTTTCAGCAGCCACAGTAAAGAACAATTAAACTGAAATAGGAAATGCAAACAGTGCCCATTTATAACAAAACATGAATTGCAATTCTTAAGAGCAGTCAAAATCAATGTCTACTTGTTTCACAGGTAAGAAAATAAGTTATAACGTTTTCCTCTTTCAAAGATCAAGAAGCCATATACTTTGCTAATGAAAAAAAAGAAATTAAAAAAACTTGGTTACACTGATGTGTGCGTGTAAATGAGAGTGAGAAAGGATAAAGAGAAACTGTTGTCTGGGCCAAAGTTTTGAAAATTTTTCTCTAAAATCTGGGAGCCCTATCGTGAATAACAGTATTTCCTTGCATTTCTGTTCTCTTGAAACTCTTACTCCTTTTCAAGTTTTTCTGCTCTCTCCATCATACAACTTACAAGTCGTTTTCAGCTAAAGCTGTGTAAGAAAAAAATATTCAAGACAGTTAGTTTTAAATCAGGAAACCGACTGTAGAAACTCTACCAGGTATTAAGCCACGTCACATTCCGGCCTCAGCAGTCACTAAGGAAACCCAGTCCTCTCATCCTTTTCAAGTGAGGCTCCCAAACAGGAACAAGGCATCCACAGAGGAAAGGTGTACTTACCGCTTGAAGCACAGTGGCCAACAGCAACCGTAGGCCAAACGCCGGCCCAGGGAAGCGCCCCTGCCCCGCCGCCATCGCTACGGGCTACCGCAACTCTCTGGCCGACCAGAGGACCCCCCTCCGCAGGGGCGTCTACGCCGGAGCCTGATCCGATACAGGCCAGAAAAGGCCACTGCCATCTAATTCCTTATTCTGCAAAGATGAGCATTAACTAAGGGCATATGCAAGCTTAAAGATGATCAAATATAAAGACAGTCACCAGGTGCTTTCAATTTCTCAAATCAGGCACTTTCCTAAACTCCCTATTTCTGTTCTTCTGAGGGCTCCTTTCTTCCAATCACATTTCATCCCGGAGCCAAGAAACCCCGCCTTCTCCAGTTTCAGCCCTGCCTCCTCCTCCACATTATCCAATTGCATTCCGCTTTGGTTGAGTCTGTGGCAGAAGAACCCAACCGTAAAGCGAACCGTGAGCGAAACGCCGGGGTTCATTCCAGCCAATAAGCACAACCGAACGGAGTGGGTGGAGCCCTTGGTTGCCGAGCAGCGTACGTAAATGCGTGCGCGT